TTGCGGCGTATCAACCGGACAGATGATTTTGACTAACCTCGGGTGTTAGAATAATAATAAAAATAATAATAATAATAATAATAATAATAAATATAACAACTACAATAATAAAAATAATCATCATCATCATCATCATTATCACCACCACCACCATCATCATCATCATCATCATCATCATCATCATCATCATCAACAACAACAACAACAACAACAACAAACAAGTTCTTTTGGATGAGTCTTCCATTTTTGATGGCGACTTAAAATGTTGATCAAACCATTATGTAATTTTTTTTTGCAATCTTTTCAGTTCATACTAAAGCAATTAGTGATATGTCACCGTGGATTAATGCTGAGTAAGGCTAAAAAATAGAATTTAAAATTCTTACATAAACTAAATGCAGCACTTGAAATGGAAACATTTGCGAAGTAAATAAATTCTAAACATTCTTTTTTTGGGGGGTGGGGGTATTTTGCACAATAAAAATGATAACTCTGAAAAAAGTGGGGAGAGGAAATGATCTGAAAATTTGCACAAACGTTATTAGTATAGACATATAGACATACATCCAGTCCCTTAAATAGTATATCAATACATTAATAAACACACAAAAAAGGCCGTGATAATAAATCATGTACAAGTAAAAAGAAAAAACACACTTCAATGGCAAATGTATGTATTCGTTACGACAAATATCCAAACTTTTAACTACGTTGAAATTTATGACGGTTTTTATGTTTTAATTCAAATAAATGTTACAATTGATATGATCTATACAAAATTTATTTCATAGTTTATAATAAGTCAACATTAAAAGTATTTAATCGCCTATTAACCTAAAAGTTATATCATAATTAACATAGCGTCTTTCATAGTAAACATCACAAATATAAACAAAGTTAATTTATCAATCTTCATACTTCTTAATGGGAAAGTACATGTTCATTAGAAAATGATAAGTTTGTTTGTTTGCTTGTTTGAATTTACGCGCAGCAACGTCATCTAGCGCCGAAACAGAAAATATGATTTTGGCTAACTTTGTGTGTTACAATCTTCTAAGCAACACCCATGGTCAAAACTACCCCATCTGCTGGTGTTAAGAAAATACTCCAGATATTCAATCCCATTTAGTTGCCCCGTACGATTACGCAAGAATAAATGGTGACTGCAATTCTGGTGCGACACAAGGTGAAATTCATATGCTTTAATAACTGCTTAACACCAGTAATAACGGAATGTTAAGAGATAGTTTTGGAGCACAAAGTGGTAATTATTTGCCTCCGTGCAATTTCCATGGCGTATTAGCTAAAAGGCCGAAAGCCAATGAGCGAATAAAGCTACAGTAACCTGAAACAACACAAAAAGGACATAGCTCTGATAAAGGCTGTTGGTGCCTAGCAAAGGGCCTGCCTTTCGTACGCAATCACCCTTCTTTGTTATACCTACCTACTTTGTAGGGCCACTCCCCTTCGGCTTCAGTCAGGACATTGGCAGCTGAATTGTAGACTGCTGATGTAAAGATTTACTACATCGTATGTTGCAAAGATACCCTCCGTCCGTAGAAACTAGCACTTGACAACGTTTTCTTGGTGTATTGAAGTCAAGCCAAACTGCAAATCTTCTACCGATCCCTAGTGCCTGTCTGCTGTGACCTGACCGTACCGAGGGGGTGAGACATTATGACGTGTAATTACTTGTACTCTTTGTGACAGTAGGTTATCAAGCTTTTTATCGAAAGAGCAGATATGATGTCAATATTAATAACATAAAAATAATAATCGTTTGTAAAGATGCACTGATCACTGACAGATAATCATTTATGAACATGTTCTGTAATGTTATCAAACAATCAATACAGTCATATTATAAGGATGCCTTTGATTTATTCAACACGTTTTTAAGTGATGTAATTTATGTAATCGAATTAAATTAAAACCTCTATGGTCAAATTGTGTTTCTAACAACATCACTTCCCCCAAAGGTGCGTGCAATTGATTTATTGAACACACGCACATTTGATGATGTTAATTTTGACGGGTTTTATATACCATTACATAATCACATTGGGTGTTTCTTTAAGTACATTGGAACATAATTAGTAAGTGCATGTTTTTGGATGTTTCAGTATGTTACATATTAGTATAGCCTTGGTTCAAATGACAATTAAAAGCTTCTTTCAAACGGTGCATTTTCTCAGAACAATGATTACTTTGTAAAGACATTATATGTTTAAGTGCATGTGTCGACAGAAACTAAAGACGTAAAGATTGCACAGGTACATTCTTTCATGAGGTTAACATGTCAGCTAATTGTTCAAACTAAAAGCCACAAATAAAGCTGCACTTTCTTCAAGCGCATATGCCATGGAGGGGGATATCACATGCACGTTCTTTCAGGTCAGTTTCTGCAAAATGCATACTTACAAAATGAATCATTTAAAGCTCTCTTCATATTTGAGCCCCTCCTCCCCTGTTGTATATCTCGTCTCTATTTACTTCCCTTGTAAGCCTCTCATCATATACCTCGTATCCCTGCCTTACACCACTCTTCTCATATACATCTCGAATCCCTGGCTTATATCCCTCTTCTTATATACCCCTCGTATCCTTCTTCTCATGTACCCCTCGTATCCCTGCCTTATGTCCCTCTTCGCATATACACCTCGAAACCCTTCCTTATATCCCTCTTATCATATACCTCTCGAATCCCTGCCTTTTGTCCCTTTTCCAAATGACCCCTCGAATTCCTGCCTTATGTCCCTCTTCTCATATACCCTTCAAATCCCTGTCTTATGTCCCTCTTATCATATTCCCCTCGAATCCCTGCCTTCTTTAAGTGAAATATTTTCCTTTTTTGTAATGAAATATGTCATTGTTTACATTATTTTTTTTACAGAAATCAACGACGATATTTTGGAAGACAGAAGACATTTCCAAAGCAAGAATATCTTTTGAATGGCGATACAATGCTGTTATAAAGTAAACTTTTTACTAAGATATGATTTTACACTTTGTACATTGGGTGATAAGAATATGAAAATCAATCGCGACAGCTTTTTTTACAAACTGAGACTGGAAGATATTCTAGACGAGAACAAATATGCAAATTTCAAAGTAAAATACGTGTGAAAATAGATGTTAACAAGTTCTGTGAACGTTCGAACGTGCACGAAATTTACATGTTATTTTACACGTAATTACTGGCAAGCTATTAATCCGAAAGCAATAAATAACTGATAATCGTTTTGCGTTCAGACAAAGGTATAAAGGGTGTACGTCTATATCATTTATCATATCCCGTGTCAAATAAAACAATAATTTATGGTGAATTGTAATTAAACTTTGATAATATGCAATTAAATCATTATTATGGCGTTAACACTTTTTTTCGGTATTTAACATGTAATTAACATCAAACATCTAAGGGGAAACAACTCTAACTGATCGATATATATCAAGCTCCCGACGTTATAAATCATTCCGCTAATAACAAGATTGATTCAATTGTTTCATTTCTCTTCTAGATTCATCTTAATCAGATCAGTTGATATTTTATTTTTATTATTCCAATTAAATGTGTCAATCAAATATGTGTCCGCTTCCTGGAACCGACCAGTACTGGTGTCATGGAGGACCAGAGAATGACTCGAACCCACAATCCGAGAGTTGAGAGACAGACACACTAACCACTAGGCCCATCACTCCCCTTCTATTTTTGACTTTTATTGACCCCACCTTTGTCGCATAAATTAAGTAATTTTGTATGATGGTTTGCGTTCTGTCCGTTGGTTACTTCATTCGCCACTCACTAACGTTTTATTAATAATATTAAATTGAAAACAGTCAAAGGCTCGTGAAGTATCGGAATGTTTCGACATTTTCCATATTTAATGTTTATTTATCGAACGCTTACCCCAGAATGTTTTTCCTTGCTCTGGGTCATTAGGAGGCTTATTGGTTTATATAAACACCGGACATGGGCGAAATATGCCGATTTTACACGAGCATCACCAAAATGTTTAATTGTAAGACTGGTTTGTGGTAATGAAAGTTTAAATTGTTTATTGAAATTTCATTTCATTTAGATACATTAGGAACCCTAAATCATCAAATTAACGATTATTTTCAGTAAAATTGAGTAAAATTTCTTATACAATTTATCACAAGATTCTTTCTGCTATTTTTTTTTTCATCTTACTTATTTGGTCTAACCAGCATTCGTTCAATGTTGTGAACTTTATTCCTGAAAACTTCATCGTCTGCACCAGGGCAGCATCCCTGAAGGAATCGTGTGGTCGTTTGTCCAATTAAACGAAACTAGCAGAAATGTATATATGATACAAATATATAGACGGCAAAGAAAAAGTGTAACGAAACAATACGGTTAGTACTAAAGGGAGAAAAATAAGTTTAAATGTTTCTTTAATTTTATAAGAATTCCTCCTCGCCGTGTTTCCCCCCCCCCCCCCCCCCCCCCCCCCCCCCCCCCCCCCCCCCCCCCCCCCCCCCCCCCCCCCCCCCCCCCAAGACCCTCCTGTATGCTCAATATTTCTGATCTTAATTACTGGTCCGTTATACGTGTTTTCCTTAACTGTATAGTGGTATTTGCACAGTTTATCACAAATGACAAGTCTCGAACATGGGTCCAAATACACATAAATATTATATACATAAGTAAATGCTGAATGTATATACCATAGTTTACAGTTTCTTATAGATTTTCGTTAATTACATTTTCTGATAATTGTTTCACAGTTATAAATGTTACTATATCTAAATATAAACCATACATCGGCGTTATGGTAATGTTCAATTCTGATATATTCCTGAACAGGATTTTTTTCTAAGCATTAGCGTTGAATTCATAAGGTATGTATGTGTGTATGTGAGTGTGTGTGTGCGTGGGTGTGCGTGTGTGTGCATATGTATGTGTATGCATGTCTGTCTGTTTGGCTGCTCGCGTAAGTGCGTGCGCGCGTGCGTGTGTGTGCGCGTGTGCGTGTGTGAGCGTGTAACAGTTTATACTCTTGAAAAAAACTTCATCTTATCAAACAAAATTTAAAATTTGTTTTCATGAGCAAGTTATGGTCCTCTACAAAAGAGGTTCTTGACTCTCAAATGTAAAGTCAGATATTCAAATCATTGAAGTTGAATTCATTCTTTCAATTTATCATGTTTATTATTATTTCAAAATTATATTGTGATAAAAATGTAATGACATGCCTATATATCAGTTTGATACACACAAGCAGTATATGATCATTGAAAACTATAGTCTTCAAACTTTCTTCTTATATTTGGATCACATTTTATTGGTTAACCAGTAAGCCAGTAAGAAGCTTAGATATATGGAAATTTGCTGCATTGTTTCTTGCCCTTTGTTGAAGAGAAAGCATGTAGCATTTTAATGCCTCTTGTGGTCTGTGTTCTTGTTCCATACATTGCCCTAAAAGATTTAGAGCTGTTTCTCTATGTTTAAGGTATTTATTTGTTTCTATGGTTCTTATAAGTTTACTTAGTGCTTGTTGTTGATCTTGATTTCTGTGTTGATGATTGTAGATCTTGTATTGTAGGAAGTAAAGGAAAGGTAGAGAATCAACTACAGCCCAGTCCATCCAATAGTCATTATCTTTATCTCTGTGTATCATGTCATCTTGTGTAGATCTGAACATTTCATATTGTAGTTCATGAGGAACACAGTTGATCTCTTCCTGTATAAATCTGACACAAAATGCTGTTATATGTTTGATACAGTCCTCACTTTGCTCACAACATACCCTCTTGAATTCTGCTGTTACTGTTAATGTAGGTGTTTCCCTGCATCTACAGATAGGTGCACCAGGATGAGAGTCATATTGTTGTTCAATGTGTCTCAGAATTAGTTCAGCTTTCTCCATATCTCCTGTACTGTAGAACACTGAAGCCAATTTAAGTCTGCTAGATGAGATATCTGAGTTTAAACCAGCTGATAGCCAAACCAATGCTTCAGGTGACACTTGATTATTTTCACCAATACTGGATGATGCTAGGGCAGACCCATAAGTGGTAAAACAAAAAGGTGCTAGAAACTTGAATGCAGCCTGTTGTAACCTATTACCATTATCTCTGAAGGTCATTAGTTTACTTACAGATTGCTTCATTGTCGTAATGTTTTTGCTGTGTAAATTGTGTAAAACAAATTTATGCCACTCACTTACTTCGTGTGCAATGTCTATATATCCCCCGGTCAAAACGTGTTCAGATATTTCAAGAGAAGAACGAAAATAGTATACTCCATGTGGTACCCTGCTCAGTTTAACTTGAAGTCTATGACCAAGATCATCAATATCAATCCCAAGTAACCATTGTCTATCATTCTCTATAAGTTCACAAATATATTTTGAAAGTTCATGTTTTGTGTCAGCTGTAAATTGCCCTGCCATCAAATTATTGTCCGGTATAATGAAATGTGAACAACGATCATTCTGTACACAACTGTGTAATTCCAATAAGCAGTATGTTAAACATGTAAATAAATTATTTTCTTTCCATGCACTTTTCTCTGTGTTTTCTATACAATGTAATAGTACTGTTTTACACATGAAACTTGATATATTGATTTCATCTTGAGGATAAGGGAAGGATTTAAGAATAATTTTCAATAATACATAGCACCTTATTTGTGTTATATTTAGATTAAGTATAAGGCACCTTTCTGCCAATGATGTAGATATTCTCCATTCCAGTTCAGGATATTCACTGACCTTACTTCCAGTTGGAACAACAAAACACCTAGTACTGGCTGCATATCTTCTCATGTCTTGTGTTGGCCATCTGTCAATACCTTGTCTATCTAACCAACCTGATGCTGATTGAGGCCATGATTTACAAGGTAAAGCTACCACATGGTCTGTATCACTGAATCCAGGTTGTCCTGGTACAGCATTTGATGGTCCATGATCTACAGCACCCGGAATTAAACCATTAAATTTTGTGTTTTTCATCAAAATTCTTCCACTTCTATCAGTTATATGGTGTTCAACAGGAATGACAGTGTCAGGAAGAGGTTCATCAGGTCGGAGCAGTTGTAAGAAACAATACCCCGGGGTTGTGTTCTCATCCTGTATCATGAGGAAGTTTACCTTGCCATGTTCCCACTCTGACCAGTCTTGTATTACATTGAAATCATGATTACAGTGTAGTTCATCCAAGTCTGACTGAAGCCCTATAGTCGTTGTACCTTCACTCTGACTCCCTAGATAATATCCAGTAAATTTTGAATCAATTAACCTATGTGTGATATTAAACATAGTCTCACTCAGCATGTAAAATCTTCTCCTCCTCATCACTGTTATTTTACTGACACCAATGTCATTAAAAACATCTGATAACTTCAGTGATAGGTTTTCTCTGTAGTCAGGTTCTTGAAACATTCTGTAATGTATAAGTAAAGGAAAAATTGTTTAAATCAGCTGTCAAATTAATTTTGTCACATGCTTCTTCTTGGTACTTATTTTTTCTCTATTTTGTTAGGGTATTTTCTTCTTTTATGTAAATTTGAATAATTTGTTTTTCAGAATTTTGATGTAAGAGAGACACAAATATGAAACACTCATTCAAATATTCATGTAACCTTTTCTTACATAATTCATTCAATATAAGTGAAAAATTGTGTACTGAAATTCTGTTTTAAACTTAATTTAAATGTTGGATTTAGTAATATTTCTTAAAAATAATCAAGATGAAATAGTTCGTTTCATTTGACCAGTTGGGTGGAATTTTTAATTTTGCTAATTTTACTTCCTCTTTCAGTTTTAAGTGAAAATGTAAAGGAGAATAAATAATTCCTTTGGTATCTTTAAGATATATAAAACCCCACAATATAAATATTATATATATGCATGATAATACAACACTTTCTTATTTGTATTTCTATTTCATTGAACTACATAATTCATTAAAAGAAATATGTTGGGGTTTTTTGGGGTTTTTTTTGTTGTTGTTGTTTTTTAATTGTTCAAAGGGAGACACTTGAATTAAAAACACTTATCAAAATATATATGCGAAATTGTTTATTTATAATAAAGTTTGAAACTTACTTTATGTTTGACCAGATAGGTGGAAATTTTTCTATTTTTACTTCCTCTTTTGGTTTGAATGAAATTGTGAAGGGAAACAACTCCCTTCCTAAACAGTAAGAACTCACGAAACTGGACATAATCAGGACGAATTATCAATGATCCTGGTTAACCTAGGATTTAAAGCATGCACATTCTTAACCTACTGATATGACTGGTATGGTTAAATATTAAAATGTGTGCCTTTTTGTACATTTTATTTTTGAATCCTTACTTTTAGTTGATATTATGTTCATGACGTCAAGGGTAAAAAAGTAAAAACAAACATTACTATAACATTGATTTTAGAAAGTCAAAAATGATAAACCACCATAATTAGATAACTTGTCTAAACCTATTATATTATAGAAATGTGATATCTCTGGCCGAGTGGTTGAGGTTATTAACTTCAACCACTGGCCCCTCATAGCTGTGAGTTCGAATCATGACAGACACTTTGAATTCCTTCACGTGAGGAAGCTATCCAGCTACCTTATGGAACGTCGTAGGTTCTCCTCAGGTGCCCGTTTGTGCCTGAAATAATGCACGGAAGGGCACCTGAGGTCTTACTCTACCAGTAAAGCTGGAACGTCGCGATATGACCTATACTGTGTCCATGTGACGTTAAACCCAAAACAAACAAACAAACTAAATCAGTATTGAACATACACTCATTCAGTATCTTATATATATGTACCCTGTATATATGGTAAAGACTGTTTTCTTATATTCAATGTATGTACCATGTGTATAGCATGACCCTATTTAATGCAGTCACCAGTCATCATTGTCTTAGGTCAATAAGAATCTAAGGTCTTTCTATCTCCACCAGTAAATCTGGAGCATCGCCATATGACTTTACTGTGTTCGTGTGGTGTGAAACGCAATAAATCAAACATTACAGACATCAAAAATAAATAAGATGTTAAAACCTAACTATTACATAATATTCTGCAAAGACTATAAAAAAAACATCCGCAAAAAACAAACAAATAAAAAAACATGAAAACTTTTTATCCTTCTTTTCAAGAATGTAATTGTCACGAACTTGATTAGAGTAATCCGTAATTTAGTGATTTGTTGTCATGATAATATAGACTTAATGATGTATATTTCTCTCTTTTTAATAAGTTTAGAGTTATTTAAACATCATAATTGTTATAAAAAAACATAGTTATTTATATTACGGATGACAGTTACTGTACTTTCATAAGAAAACTTAAAGGCAGAATTAAGGGAGTCAAGATTGAAAAATTGTACAAAACACAAATTACACATTATATATAGAAAATAAACATATTTTAGATACCATCGGACATACTTTTCATCATGTTGTGACTGTGGTTACAAAGACAATTAATTTATCATGATGTTTACCATGGTAATATAAATAACTAATTTATCATGATGTTTGCCATGGTGACATAGGTGATTAATTTATCATGATGTTTATAATGGTAACAGAGACAATAATTGATCATGATGTTTACCATGGTAGCATAGACAATAAATTTATCATGATGTTTACCATTTTAACATAGACAATTAATTTTTCATGATGTTTACCATGGTTACATAGACAATTAATTTTTCGTGATGTTTACCATGGTTACATAGACATTTAGTTTATCATGATGTTTACCATGGTAATATAAACAATAAATTTATCATGATGTTTACCATGGTAACATAGACAATTAATTTATCATGATGTAAACAATGGTAACATATACAATTAATTTATCATGATGTTTACCATGGTAACAAAGACAATTAGTTTATCATGATGTTTACCATGGTAACATAGACAATTAATTTATCATGATGTTTACCATGGTAACATAGACAATTAATTTATCATGATGTTTACCATGGTTACATAGACAATTAAGTTATCATGATGTTTACCATGGTTACATAGACAATTAATTTATCATGATGTTTACCATGGTTACATAGACAATTAATTTATCATGATGTTTACCATGGTTACATAGACAATTAAATTATCATGATGTTTACCATGGTTACATAGACAATTTAGTTATCATGATGTTTACCATGGTTACATAGACAATTAGTTTATCATGATGCTTACATTGTTATTTAAATGTGAAATTGTGTACATAAAATAAAGTTTTAAACTTACTTTGAATGTTGGATTGAATAATACTCGTATTTCCTTAAAAAATAATTAAGAGAAAATATTTGTTTTCATTTTACCAGATACGTTGGAAATATGCTAATTGTACTTCCTCTTTCTGTTTTATATATTCATTCCAACAATTATTGTACTTTTTAGATTGGTTAAAAAGGAAGACACTTATATTCCAGTGAATACTTTTTAAATGAGAAATATCGTGTATTTTGAATAAAGTTTTAAACTTACTTTTAATGTTGGAATTCAATAGTATTTCATGAAAAATCAAGAAAAACTGTTTCTTTCCGTTTTTTCACTTCCTCTTTTGGTTTTGAATGCAATTGTAAAGGGAAAGAACTCACATCCTTTTCCTTACAGTTGTTATATAATTTAATAATGTCCCTTTTAGATTTCTTTTCTATTCTGTCAATGCATTGTAAAATACACTGATAATATAAGGCTTAATTTTGTATAAAATTCTTTCTATTCAAATAATATAGAAAGTATTAAAACATCATATTATTTTAAAGAAGAACATAGTTATATTATTTTAAGAATGAAACATGTTTAGCAATCACTGTGAGTAATTAATACTCTTTTCAAGCATTATGCAGATTGAAAACGTCATCATGATTTTTGGCCTAATTTGACAATGAGTTGAATGGCTATTTGTCTCTCAGTGCAGATTCATAAATCATTTAATTAAGTAGCCAGAAACTTGTGGAGAAATTGGTAATTACTGGTTAGTTATCCAGAAAAGTCTTTTAGGTGGATTGACCTAGATGTGACCAAAAATGTGTTATAATAACCTTAAAAATAAAGTGGCTATAACTTTGTTGTATTTGTAATGGACTCTTCAAATTTGAACATAATAATCTTTTAGGATAAACCGTCAAGTTAACCAGGTAGACATTGACTTTCAAATAAATAACATTGAAGGTCAAATTATTATATATATATGCTTTTTTTTTGGGGGGGGGGGGACTGTAATGTGCTATTACTATATTATTCATGAAAAGATTGACGGATTGACTTCATATTAAGACATAACATTTAACAGTTATTGCCCTTTTCAGCACTTTCAGAAAATTGATATGGTTAATCTAAACCTTTGTTTTCCCCTACAGCAAAAAATAGCCCAGTTAAGGGTTCTCATTTGTTACATTTACATTTCCGGGAAACATGAGCTTTAAAATTTTGTTTTAGAATCATAATTGCTGAGAGCTTAGATGTTTGCTAACATAGACTTGTATAGCATTGGTTGTCTAAAACCATATGACCTAGAGAAAAGCTATTTAAATGTAGAATTGTCTGATGATCCTCTATAAAAGTAAAGAATAAATCATGCCCCTTTGATTAAAATTGGTCCCACCTATTGATTTATTTCACCATTTATTAACTGTGACCTTTTCTAGCCATTATGGCCCTCTTACATTATTCTTATTGACCTAAGACAATGATGACTGGTAACTGCATTAAACAGGGTCATGCTATACACAGGGTACATACATTGAATATAAGAAAGCAGTCTTTTACCATATAAACAGGGTACATATATATAAGATATTGAATGAGTGTATGTTCAATATTGATTTTGTTTGTTTGTTTGTTTGTTTGTTTTGGGTTTAACGTCACATGGACACAGTATAGGTCATATCGCGACGTTCCAGCTTTACTGGTGGAGGAAGACCTCAGGTGCCCTTCCGTGCATTATTTCAGGCACGAACGGGCACCTGAGTAGAACCACCGACGCTCCGTAAGCTAGCTGGATAGCTTCCTCACATGAAAGAATCCAAAGTCCCTGTCGGGATTCGAACCCACAGCGGTGAGGGGCAAGTGGTTTGAAGTCAACGACCTTAACCACTCGGCCACGGACGCCCCAATACTGATTTTGATAAAATCATTAGATTCCGCAATGAAACCTCACGAATATAATATTCAATTTATCACATAACCAAAGTAAAGACCTTGAAAAAGAGCTATTTTTAGCTCGACTTTTTTATTGGGGAAAATAAATAGAGGTATTGTTACAGTCATGTCGGCATCGCCGTTGTCGTAGCCGTTGCTGTTGCCGTTTCCGTTTCTGTCCGCAAACTTGTACCGTGATCATAATTTTTAAGTTCTTGGCGTATTGTCTTCATACTTGGCCACAACAACCCTTAAGACAAAACTTTTCAGTAGACCAGACTAACCTTGACCTTAATCCACTGATAACCAAATTTTGCTGCTATTTTGCTCTTAGTGACTATAACTTTGTTGTTCTTTTTTGTATGTATTGTCTTTAAACTTGAACATAAGAATTTTTTAGAAATCCTATTAAGATAATCAGGCATTGACCTTCACTCAAACATTACCTTGACTTTGAAGGTCAAATTATTTAATTTCCGTTTTTGCTGTAACTGGTAGTAACTTTGTTATTATTAAATGGATTGACTTCATATTATAACAGAACTTTCTTTATGATGAGAATATTTGCAAAGTCTATGAACAAGTCAAAGAGGGAAATAAATTTCTATCGTAAAGATCAAATCACAGATTCCGCATGTGAACACATTTACAACAGTAAATGAAAAGTGTACACTCTTTAAGCCATTGTCATTGCTTGCGTTCCATATTTCGCCATGAATTACGTTTCATATTTCGCCATGAATAACGTTTCATATTTCGCCATGAATACCGTTCTATATTTCGCCATGAATTACGTTTCATAATTCGCCATGGACTGCGTTCCATATTTCGCCATGAATTACGTTCCATATTTCGCCATGAATTACGTTCCATATTTCGCCATGAATTACGTTTCATATTTCGCCATGAATTACGTTCCATATTTTGCCATGAGTTGCGTTCCATATTTGGTCATGAAATTCGTTCCATATTTGGTAATCAATCATTAAATGCTTTCGTTATGAACTCATTAGTCCAGCACTTATTAGTTACATATAGAATAATCAGCATTTTGCTGTTTCATGTATTGTTTAACTTCGACCTCAAACATTCTCAAAATAAATCGCATATACATATAATGTTAATATGATATTCAGCACATTTTTGAGGTTATAGTTTTCTGAATTTTTGTGGTGAGCGATCTCAATAAATTATGTAATTTCCTTGTCTATTATAAAACTATTTAAAATAGAAGGCAACAAGCTTATTTTAAAAGCTAATGGGTTTTAATCATGAACTGACACAGCTTGATATGTGCTTGATCCGTAAGGCTTAATGCAAATAGATATATTTTATCATTGTTAAATTGATGATAAAAAAGCTCTTTGATGTCGGTTTTTGTTGCTACCAGTATTTAAACGTGATTTGATCCGCGTCATGACAAAACCAACATAAAGGATTTGCGACCAGCATGGATCAAAACAGCCTGCGCATCCGCGCAGTCTGATCAGGATCCATGCTGTTCGCTATCAGTTTCTCTACTTGTAATAGAATTGGTAAGCGAACAGCATTGATCCTGATCAGACTGCGCGGATGCGCAGGCTGGTCTGGATCCATCCTGGTCGCAAACCCTCTATGTTGGTTTTGTCGTGACGCTGATCATTTGCTAATGAAGACATAGCGTGACATGGCAATTAATGTAACCGACGGGGTATTTTGTACCTTACCGTAACACTAAAGATCGGGCCCACGTTTGTAACTTCCATTATTTTGTAATGGACTCCTAACACATTAAGCACTGACATTAGAACTAGCGTTTATTATTGTTTATTATAATTATAATAATAATAATAATAATAATAATAATAATAATAATAATAATATATGATAATAAATGATAATAAAAATAGTAATAAAATAATAATAATAATAATAATAATAATGATAATGATAATAATGATGATGATGATGATGATTATGATGATGATGATTATGATGGTGGTGATGATAATGATGATGATAATGATGATGATGATGAAATGGAAACATTTGCAAATTAAATAAATAACAAAAATGCTCAAAAAATAATTGAAAATCGACTTTTTTGTGTTCGATCCTGAGCCTACTTTGAGTGATGCTTTTCTTTTTGATGTTATTTTTCACAATAAAATTGATGATTTTGGAAAAAGGGGGAAAGGGAATGATCTGAAGAATAGTATATCAATACATTAGTAAACACACAAAAAAGGCTGTAATAATAAATCAAGTACAAGAAAGAAAAACATTTAAATGACAAATTTACGTATTCATTACGACAAATATCCAAACTTTTAACTACGTTGAAATTTACGACGCTTTTTATGTTTTAAGTCAAATAAATGTTACAATTGATATGATTTATACAAAATTTATTTCATAAATTAGTTATTAGTTATAATTAGTCAACATTAAAAGTATTAAATCGCCTATTAACCAAAAAGTTATATCATAATTAACGTAGCGTCTTTCACAGTAAACATCACAAATATAAACAAAGTTAATTGATCAATCTTCATACTTTTTAATGGGAAAGTACATGTTCATTAGAAAATGATAAGTTTTTGTTTGTTTGTTTGTTTGAATTGACGGCGCACCAACGTCATCTAGCGCCGAAACAGGAAATATGATTTTGGCTAATTTTGTGTGTTACAATCTTCCAAGCAACACCCATTGTCAAAAATACCCCATCTGCTGGTGTTATGAAAATACCCCAGATATTCAATCCCATTTAGTCGCCCCGTACGATTACACAAGAATAAACGGTGACTGCAATTCTGGTGCGACAACCTCTCAGCCACAAGGTGAAATTAATATGCTTTAATTTTGTTTCATTTGATTTATTTTTATTTCATTTAATATTCGAGCGAGTGAGTGAGTATGCATTAGTGCGTGTGCGCGTGAGCGATTGATTGTGCGCGTGCGTGAGTGAGTGAGTTTCCGCGTGAGTGATAGAGTGAGTTTGCGCGTGCGTGAGTGAGTGAGAGTACGCGCGCGTGAGTGAGGAAGTTAGTGAGCATGCGCGTGCGTGCGTAAGTTTGTGCGCTTGCGTGAGTGCTGATCTTTGCCCAGCCTCGTGGGATGGAGGACGAAAGTATGAGCGTCACTGTCCCTCTTCATTGTATTTTCAGTTGTCCTTACCATTAATGCAGTTCAGATTTACCTCTTTATATAAGTTTCAGTAATGTATCAAAATAAA